TTTGGATCTAAGTGACAAACTATGACATGTTTACATACTAGATCTGGAAACTAAAAATAGCATTTTAAAAGTTTGGGAACTAGATGACACACAAAGACAAGTTTTCATTTTAGTTTCTATAGATACAATACAATAGATGAACGGGTGGATGACATGATATCAAAAGTCACCATGCTGTAACCAAGGTAACGTGTTTAATTTCTCACTCTACCACGCATAACACGTCATATATAAAATTGTAACAAAGTTATTTATCTTTTCTTTCATCACGTCGATCACTTCATTCTGACTTCCGGCGACTCGGCGTGTCTCCTTTTTTCTTGGTTTTAGAACAGCTGGAATATGTAGTGATTGCTACTGCATGTGGCGACACGACGTTGCTAGCATCTAGTAACGTGTACATTTAGCTGTCTAGCTCATGCCTCTATTATTGAGTTCCATTATATTTATGTTATCGTCTCTCTCACACACACACAATATATATATATATATATATATATATATATATATATATATATATATATATATATATATATATATATATAAAATAACAACAGCGTATTACGCAACACGAGACTATTGTCCTCATCATATAATTTGTGATAAAGATAACAGCGTGTTACGCGGCGTGTTACATTTTTGTGATACCGTCCTTTCTAGGAAAAACGTAGGATTCTTGAGATATGCAAACAGAAATAAAAGATGTGTTTTTCAGCTTTTGAATTCTTAATTTAGAAGTAACTCAATGGACATTAATATCTCTCAAGGGGCCGTTTTGGATCACTTCATTTTAGAGGAATTGAAATATACTTAATGGATTATGTTATTTGGCTTGTAATTTTAGATTCCACAATTTTTCAAGTTCACATATAAACCTATCTCAAATTCATAGAGTGGGAGATGGAAATCGATTCTATAGATCATCATGCTATGTTTCTAATCTACAACTTATAGCATATTCTTCAACTCGTTTTACTATAGTAGAAATACAACTATAAGCATCTCTCTTGCATAGCTAACAATAATATACAAATATATTCTATATACAACCATATTAGCTTAATTAATATGTGTCTAAATTATAATTATTAGAATGAATTCAATTCAAGGATCCAAACACAGAGCCTTAGATATCTTTAAGTCATAACATCTTTCGCTATACATCTGAGAATAGCTAAAATAACTTATAATTTAGAATATAGCGAGGTATTGTAAAAATTGTATATCTAAAAAATACAAGAACGATTTAAAATTTGAAATGGAGGAGTACATAATAAACCAAGGTTATTCCAACAAAATAAGTAAAGAAATATTTTAGCTTTTTATATACGCACCATGGTTTGTCTCCGTGCCAACTGCCTAGACCAGATGATGTTGAAACTAATGAGGATCCCACAATGCCTACTAATTAACTAGTACTATTCCAAACAAACAAGGTTACTGAATCGCCACCACACAAGATCCATGCGCCACGTAGGTATGAATCATCTGGAGAGTGGTCCAATCAATTCCAAGGTCCATGGTCCATGGAACAGGCTGCCCTGCCTCCCTAGTCCCTACCTGACTCAGCAAAAGGATGAGATCCTCACATCAGCCATTGATTTATTATACTCCATCTGTCCATCCGTCCCTTTTTTAGTGTCTAGATTTTCATGTTAAACAATTTTTTTAAATTTTAACTACATTTATAAAAACTACTAGTAACATTTATAAAGATATATATATTATAGAAATGTATTTAATCATTGATCTCTAATAATAGTTTCTTCCTCCGTTCCATTTTATCTGGCGCAAGTTAGAATGATACGGTCTCCTAGATTACACTTTGACCATTCATTTGCTTCATATTATATTATTTATGCTTATAAACTTATAATCATTGGATAGTATAATTCCTTACAAATCTAATCATATAAAGTTTGTATTATAATAGTTAAAAATTATTATTCTAATTATTGGTCAAAGTTTTTAAAGTTGAATCTTGATATGCGTGTGCTGCTAGATAAAAATGGAGGGAGTACTACGCATCATAAATATTAGCAATGTTTTCTTAAGCGGTAAGCGGTCTTTACACGGTGCCCTTCGTTTAGCGTTTAGAAACATTACTACAGTGTTTAAGCGAAGTTAAGCAGTCAAAAGCGGTTTTGTACTTTTTAAAAAAATACATATAATTATACATGTGCATGTAAAAATCAAGTATTCTAGCATTTATACATATTTATCCGAGTAAAAATCAATTATTTTGGTATGTATATATATTTATGCATGTGAAAAGAATCAAATATAGATATTTATGCATGTAACCTATCACATTTATAAATATAACAAACTTAAGTATATAAATTTATCCATACAAAACTAAACTAATTTACCTCGTGTTACGCCTAAAGCGACCATTTAAGCAATTTGTTTAGCCCGTTTAATATTGTTTATATTCGTTTCCATTTAAACGATTTTTTGACCGTTTAAATGATCAACGTTAATTACATTTACCCATAAACAAAAGCAGGTTTACCACCGTTTACCGTTCTTGGCGTTTAGTCGAACCACGAATATTAGTAATGCCTTGTATATATCTGGTTAAAGTTAACACAAAGTTTGTTAAGAGGCAGGTCGTCTGCGTGACCCGGCCTTGCGACAAATCTTCCTCCTCACGTCAGCGTTCTCTTCCTGCTTCTTCTTCCTCCGTGCGCCTTTCCTCCGCGCCCCCTCCCCACCCACCACCGGCGTGGCGCGCCCTTGCGAGAGGAAGAAGGCGCTAGGGTTCCTCAACTCCGGTGGGCTTAGAAGAGAAGGGGCTCGGGGAGGCGAGTTGGCCGGCCTTTGAGAGGGACGGATGGTAGGCGGTTTAGGGGCCCTGGCATTGGCGGAGGGGAGCTAGAGCTAGGAAAGAGGCGGGGGTGCCATGGACGAGCTTCGCCATGGTGGAAGGGGGGAGGAAGAAAGGCCGGCTTGCAGTGTGTGAACCCTACCACGTGGTGACAGGCGGTGGCGGCGTGGGCGTGGGTGTGGAGGAGGGGGGGGCGGGGAGGTGGGCGGCACAGCCGCTAGCTGAGGACAGCGGGTGTGTGAAAGGGAGGTGGGGTGAGGTGGAAGATGAACCAGCAGCGGGTTCTTGTGATTCCCATCTTGCAACCAAGTCGGCGCTATAACCCCTGTCTTTTAAAGTTAAGTATGTTTAACTCGTCAACATGCGAGAAGGGCAAAAAAGAAACTGAGCAAGCACTTAAAAATCACACATCATCATAACTAGGAAAAGGCCGCTTAACCACTTCCTTAAACGTTGGACGGAGAAGAAAAATGGAATTGGAGAGATGGCCAGATGGAGGTGGCCAGCAGCTGTTGCATTGCAGTTTTTTTTTTCTTTTTATAACAAAGTTGCATTGCAAGTTGCAGCGTCTGTGAAGCTGCCCTAGCCAAGTTGGTTTGTCCCGCCTGCCAATCTCAAACAATCACGGCAGCGGTAGCAAGCATATCCGGTCGTGTGGTGTTGTGATGCGGTGCGCAGGAAACGCGGCGCCGGAGACAGCTCTGCCAGCTCCCAGCTGCAGCCATCCAGGGTCATTACCGTCAAATCAGCCACGCGGTTAGGCCGGCTAGCCCTGTTCACCCCTGCTCCTCCTCCCCTGGTATAAGAAGGCCTCCTCTCCTCATTGTCCCCGCATCGCATCCTCCCCCTCCCTCCCTACGAGAGGAACTCAGGCAGCAGCAGCAGCATAGTCTACCAAAACGTGCAAAGCTCTGATCTTGTCGCCTCCCCGCAGTCTCCTCTCCCTCTCCGACCGTCCGTCCGTCCGCGACCGCGCCGTCGCAAGGTGAGCAGAGCAACCGTCCATCCGTCTCCCTGCCCTGCCTCCCATTGCAGTTTCAGATTTCAGTATACTAGTTCGACGCCGCCGCCGCTCTGTATGCTAGCAATCGCTGTAGATTGCAGGCCAATGGCATTGGTTGTCCAAGGAATCTAGCGACCCCCTGGTAATCCGTGTAGATTTAGGAAGCCTGTTCTTGGTCTCCTGTGCAGTGCAGTCTTACGGCGTCTAGGCGTTTAGGTTTGTAAATAAAGGCGAGGTTTTTGCTGGGTTATTGCCCCCTGATGAAGAATTTCGTCGCCACTTGCTTCCCCTGAAGTCTGAGCAAAGTTCTTGTCAGATGTGGAATAGTTGAACTCTGAAAGTTGGCATCTTGTCACGGTTGCCATGGATGGCTTTACTCTTTTTAGAATGCCATTTGCAGATGTGCTGGTGATAATGTGATATGCCTCACTGTGGTGGCCTTGTTTCTTAAGCAGAGTACCTCTGTTTTATTTATCTTATTAGTTCCCCACTATTTGGAATCTTCTTACTCATTCCAGCAGGGAACATTGTATATTGTCTTACTAATACACACATAGCGTGTTTGCTTTAGTACAGTAAGTCCTTTTTTTCATTCTGTGTGAACTGTGAAGCATTTATTTGGTTCTTATTAGTCGGTTAGTCCTTACTTACAGTACCTAGGTAGCAAAAGGTGTTAGCTTTTGTGCATATCCTGATCCATTCGTTGCTGAATCTAATGTTTCTTTTCTCTTGAGCAGATAACAGAAATCACAACAAGTTAAAGCCTCAGGGAATGCTGAAAGATGTGCTTTCATAGAAGAGATTCCTGTTGCGCCATCAAGGACCTTGCTGCTCCGCAAGGGCTGCTGATCTGCTCAACTCTTGATGATCTGACCTGCATCAATTCTACGACGTTGAGACTGCGACACGACCAAGCCATAAGAATACTGTTCACCATCATGGATCATGACATGGGGGAGGATGGCTAACTCTTTGTGCAGTCCACCTGATTGGCAGCCAAAAGTGTAGCCCAGTGATTTATACTTTTGAAGAAAGAAAAGATATGGAATCGAGAGGAAAGATTTTGATGAAGCGGTATGAGTTGGGAGGCTGCTGGGGAAAGGCACATTTGGCAAGGTGCACTATGCAAGGAACCTTGAGTCCAACCATAGTGTTGCTATTAAGATGATGGATAAGGACAAAGTGCTCAAGGTCGGGCTTTCGGAGCAGATAAGGCGGGAGATCACAACGATGCGGTTGGTGGCTCATAAGAACATTGTTGAGCTTCATGAGGTCATGGCGACACGAAACAAGATCTACTTCGTCATGGAGTATGTGAAAGGTGGCGAGCTCTTTGACAAGATTGAGAAGAGTGGCAAGCTCACAGAGGCCATTGCACACAAGTACTTCCAGCAGCTCATTAGTGCAGTGGATTACTGCCACAGCCGAGGTGTGTATCACCGGGACTTGAAGCCTGAGAACCTGCTGTTGGATGAGAATGAGAACCTGAAGGTCTCAGATTTCGGACTGAGTGCACTTTCAGAGTCGAAGAGGCAAGATGGCTTGCTCCACACCACCTGTGGAACTCCAGCATATGTAGCTCCAGAGGTGATCAGCAAGACAGGCTATGATGGTGCAAAGTCAGACATCTGGTCTTGTGGGGTTGTTCTATTTGTACTTGTTGCTGGTTATCTTCCTTTCCAAGGCCCAAACTTGATGGAGATGTATCGTAAGATACAGAATGGTGATTTCAGGTGCCCCAGTTGGTTTCACACAAACTCAAGAAGCTGTTGTACAAGATCCTGGACCCCAACCCAAACACAAGAATTTCAGTCCAGAAGATAAAAAGAGTCTACCTGGTTCCGAAAAGGACCTGGGGAGACCCGTACAGTAAAGGAGAAAAATTCAAGTGAGAATGCCACCACAAATGCTGCTCCAGCACTTGTTATGAGGCGCAAGAAGAATGTTCATGAAGATGTGAAGCCCCTGGCTGTCACAAACTTAAATGCCTTTGAAATCATATCTTTCTCCACAGGGTTTGACCTCTCTGGTCTATTTATCAGAAAGGAGTGCAAAAAGGAGACACGATTCACTTCTGATAAGCCTGCCACGACCATCATCTCGAAGCTTGAAGATGTTGCAAAAGCACTGAATCTCAGGATAAGGAAGAAGGATAATGGTGTAATCAAGATTCAAGGGAGGAAGGAGGGAAGGAATGGTGTCCTTCAGTTTGACACAGAAATATTTGAGATCACGGCATCCTACCATCTCATTGAAATGAAGCAAACAGGCGGTGATTCACTTGAGTACCAGAAACTGTTGGAAGAGGACATCCGGCCAGCACTGAAGGACATAGTCTGGGCCTGGCATGGAGATGATCGACAGCAAAAGGAGTAGTACCTCTGGATGTCTCAGTTTTGTTCCCAAAATTTGTTAGATTTTTTTCAGCTCAGAGTGATTCTGTTCGACATGTGTGTTCTTTTTTCAGTAATTGCATTCTTTCTCTTTCTGTGAACCATTCCGTTGCGCAATAATTGTTGAGAGGCTGAGTTGTCCAGTCGTTCCATTCTGAAAACTGTTTCTGTCCTGTAATGTGTAATGGTTGTCCCTATCCATAATGAAATAATTGCCTTTGATCCTTTAAAAAAGATTGAGCTTTCATGTACTTCTCTAATAGCTTCTTTTGGTGAAATGTGCCAAACATTTGCAAGAGATAAGCTCCTCATCACTTGCATATGGAATCACCTTGATTTTAGCCATTCCAGCACATAATAACAGCAGAAAGAACTTCCAGTAGTGATTTGCCATTACTTCAAGAATACTTTATATTTTATTTATTATGTTTGAGATTAAATTTTATTGAACCCACTAAAATCTAAAGAACCTATCTTTGTTCTTTTTAGGCTCTCAATTCTTCTCTCAGAGTTTGCCAACTACAATTTTAAGAAAATGTTTTACATGTCAAACGGGTGGTGCTGTGCTCTGTATCTCAACTTACTTGCCAGTAGATTAACTTTTCAAGTGGGGAATCAACAAGTAACTCTTGAGCACTTGGTCAGTCTCCATATTCATCAATAGCGATAACTTGTAAAAGTCGGAATTAGACAAAGAATGAAGTAGAGCTACCACTTTCATTGTAAGGTAGCTAAAAGAAACAGTCTGACAAAGAAATCAAGGTAAAATGTACACCACACAAAAGAACATATAAAAAGATGAAACGTACATCACATGTTGGTAAGTTTAATCTTCAGGCAATGTCTGAACTCCACTAGTCTACTTGCACGAAAAAGAACTCGTCTCCATCAAATGGGACCAAGGATAGATCCACTAGCTCGTTTTTCACATTCTTAATCAACCAAAGAATCGTCTCCATCAAATGGGACTAAGGATAGATCCACTAGCTCGTTTTTCACATTCCTAATCAACCACCGGAATGACTTCCCAAGTGGGTCAAGCGTCGATCCAATCCGATTAGTTTTAGCCAACCAATCACCGCTATGCCAAGTTGTGCATAATTATGTAATAAACTGTTTGGGCTCCTGATTTTCAAACATCTGAGCTTTTTCTGTTGATGCGATGTATCTCCAGTTCTCTACAAACAAGAGACAAAAGTGATGATATAGATAAATATTTCCTGCTTTCAGCATACAAAGTTGAGTTGTTCATCGTTTTTCCCTTTTCTATGGCTTTGCTCGCTCATGTGCATAGCTGTTGTATCTGTCGGCAACAGGCAAAGAAGTCAAGCCGATTGACACTTTGACAGCAACTGACAGCTGGTAAACATGGGGCACCAAGTGCAGTTGAAAAACTTCTATGAGCAGATAATTATCAAATATAATCCTTAGTTACTACTAGTGCTGATTAATTAGCTTCCATCATGCATAGATTGGAGCATCATGCTTGGTAATTAGGTGTGGGAGTTCCAGAGATTGCTACTGCTTGCACGACCTTCTTGTATTGAACTTTGTACTGGAAATGTAGCAAAAGGTGAAACTGGAATTTCATATATTGTATGTCACGGCGAAACTTACTGAAAACCTTAGCATCTACCCCACATCCCAAAAGTCTAGTTTCATAGCTATGTGTTGTCAGACAGGCTATACAGATTAGAGCCCTAATAAAACAGAAAAATAGAGACCTAATCATGCACAATGTCAAATGGCTCATTTACTACATCCTTAACCAACCAGCAAAAAAAAAACAATAATAGGTTTATGATGCATAAAATTATGCAACTAAAGAATATTATCCGCTCACTAGCTTGATACACACGTATCTTGAATGCTAAGAGAACAGGCTGATTGAAACCAAATTATCATCGAGTAGAGATCATGTTACTGCAACACAATCTTCAGAAGTTGGAGCTGGTCCACTGGGAGATCACCAGGAAACACTAAAAAATCTATATTGGATCCAAGCCCACCAAGATGGCGTGGAGAGGAGTGGGGGAAAAAAAGACAATCGCTGACATTTGCTATTTCAGAGTGGGGAATGAATGTAGCAGGCTGTGGTTGCAGAACTGCTGCTTCAGTCTGTTCTGTTCTGTTCTGTTGAACCCAACTCCAGTACAACTCGGTCTGTTGTGTCAAACATTTCAGTTTTACTTTCGTTATTCTACTCTGCGTCTGCATCTTGTTTTGCGGGCTGTAGCTTACAGTTTGCTTCTGCCCCCTTCATTACTCGTGCTATTTATGCATATACTTCCTTGGGGAGACGATTTGACTTTTCTAAACACATTGTTTTTATTATATCTCTAGACATGGTGTATCCCTAAATGTATAGCAAAAGCTATGCATCTAGAAAAGCAAAGCATCTTATAATTTGGAATAGAGGGAGTAGTTATTTAACTTGGGGCTTTGGATGCATGATCACGAGTCTTCAGAGACAAAAAAAAAAGAATAGTGTGCAAAATTGCTTCATTTCATTGTACAAGTTGCCTCAAACAATGATATTTCTGATTATATTCAGGTTAATTACTAGTGTAACTTTTGTTTATGATTTCGTTCAGGTTAGTATAGTGAGAAGTGCTTTCCTCTATCAAGAGTTAACAGAGATGCTACTGAACGCTGAATAGTTAATACCATCTTCAGGCAATCAGGCTAATTCCTGTCTTCTCATCAAGAAAACATCTCAGACTACCAAAGCAATGTAATTGGTGCAACTCTCCGTTAACATGCCATCATGACGAGCCTGCTTACTCCTTGTCAAGCAGCATCAAAAATACTAGAAGCCCAACAGGAAGATCGCAAGAATAGTAAGAAAGCTGAACGCTTGTTGAAAGATACGGCCAACCGATTATGACTTGAACAAAAGAAAGTTGCATACTTGCAGTCCAACAATATCAGCCAGCGCAAGCAAACACAGACAATGAAATTTCCAGATTTACATGCCCAAAGTCTCATTTAAGCACAAGCATGGGCATGGCTTAAGTTGAAAATTAAAATCGTGCAAACTTTAGCCACAATGTCATGTCCAAATTCCCTACTCCCAGCACTGACACACACTTACAGTTACCACAGTACACAAGGCTGAAACACCAACAATTCTGCACAGTTACTTTAGCATATATAATCAGCAATCCCCATCTATGTTACATTTGCCACCGTAGTATAATTTAGCCCCCACATGTAAGGACAACAGGATTGTGCCTATATCTTCGCCGCCTCTGTTGGCACTCAATCAGCAGAATACAAAATAAGTTATGAACATTCGTCACCGGGCCTTATCAGATTCAGAATTTTGCGGTTGTGCAACAAGGGTGCACCAGAGGTACCTCCCACTTGCCATGTCCACCATAGTCCAGAATCCAGTTTTCACTGCTGATCCAACCTATAGATTCATGCAGAAAGCAGTCTTTAAGATTCTGAACCAATTGTTACTAAAGGCACAATATTGTATCTTTCAGATGTGCACACAAGGGAAACAAAAGAGCTGATGGTTTAAAATTTGAACCAAGAACTAGTTCGATCATCGATCGTGCAGGGGGTTCACTGCTATATGTTGCTTAACTACATATGCTTTTTCATGTGCACGATGCGACTGTTTAAGCACACTCAAAAAGTTAATTTTGTAAACAAAATGAGATGCAAGATCCAGAAAGTTTATAGCATGATCTTTTTAACAGAGCAGAGGACAGTGGGAGTGTTGGGCAAGATGCCAAATGTTTGAAGATCATCTGAGCTTGAAAGAACAGTGGGAGTGTTTGGCAATATGCCAAATGCCTGAATGTCTAGTCAGTTTCAAGGCTACCTGCCAGACAACAGGGATCAAGAGTTCACAGGCTGGTGGAGAAAAGCAGCTAAGCGGGTACCCAAAGAAAAGAAGAAAGGTTTCAACACTTTGATCATCCTGGGTGCATGGCTTCTCTGGAAACATAGGAATGCTTGTGTTTTTTGAAGGGGCGAGCCCGAGCATGAATGATTTGCTCCGCTCCTTTGATGATGAGCACCATCTTTGGTGTCTCGAGGGGAGGCAAAGCTTGGCGCTTTAGATCAAGAGGTGGCGATAACCTAGCTGTTGTCAATAGTTCGTGTGTTGTGGGTCAGGTCCTACCTGTGTTTGTGTTTTAGTGATCTAGGCCTTGTTGTAACTTAGCACCCCACAGCTCGGGCGGAGTGGGGGAGGCTTCTTGTACTGGGTCTGTTTTTCCTCTCTTAATGCAATGATACGCAGTTCTCCTGCGTATTTGAGAAAAAAGTTTCAAGGCTACTAAGCATTGCTAAATCAAGTGGCATAACTTTTTCTCCATGAATTCATGATAACTCTAATAATTGTAAGCCATTCCAGACAACCTATAGTACCATTATTTGTTTGTTTGCTTGCTTGTTTAAAGTTGAGAAACTGTTATCTTTATTTCTTTCGAACAAAAAGTCAACCAAATGTATGCGTGCTAACAAGTTACTTTATGAACGGTAACACAATGGCAGGTGTTTTGGAGCTCTAGTGAGTTTCAAGGCTACCCAAGCCCTGCTCAATCAAGTGGTACATCCCCCCTCCCCGCAGTTTGCAATTGCTCTTATCACTGTAAACTCACTAGAGCTCAAAACACCTGCCATCGTGTTACCGTTCATAAAGTAACTTGTTAGCACGCATACATTTGGTTGACTTTTTTGTTCGAAAAAAGAAATAAAGATAACAGTTTCTCATGGCATAACTTTTTCTCCATGAATTCATGATAACTCTAATAATTGTAAGCCATTCCAGACAACCTATAGTACCATTATTTGTTTGTTTGCTTGCTTGTTTAAAGTTGAGAAACTGTTATCTTTATTTCTTTCGAACAAAAAGTCAACCAAATGTATGCGTGCTAACAAGTTACTTTATGAAGCGGTAACACGATGGCAGGTGTTTTGGAGCTCTAGTGAGTTTCAAGGCTACCCAAGCCCTGCTCAATCAAGTGGTACATCCCTCCCCCAGTTTGCAATTGCTCTTATCACTGTAAGCTATTATACATGTCCGTAGTATAGTAGGATTTTTTTTATGAACATTTCAATTGGGGTGGGGGGTGGGGGGGAGCAGGGTTGCCCCACCTGATTTTTTTGATGATATATATATATATGGCTCGAGTTACATGATTATTTGATTTACATGGAGATTTACAGCGGTAGGTGTTGTACAGAGAGGTAAAAAGCTGAAGCTAGGAGCAGTCCGGTTTAGGACCTCATCGTTTGATCAAACAATCTACACCTACCTTGCTAACAAGGTACGAAATTTATGCAAGTTTTTTTTTTGTTCAGGATTCAGGACTAGCATATTGTATATCATTGGCATATCAGTGATAACTGAGTGGTTCAAATGAGCCTGAATTCATCAAGAGGAGTGGTTCAAATAAGCCTGAAATTCAATTCATCTAGATAATGCTGTGATCCTAGTTTTCCAAGCAGGAATTTGTGAGCGGCGCCGCAGCAGTCAGGAAGCTAAGAATAGCGGGGTTGCCAGACAGGTGACACGCGTTACCTTGGAATGAAGGGGCACGGGTGCCCTGAGGGGAGCCCTCGCCGTCGGCGTCGGCGTCGGCGTCGGCGTCGAACTGGTCGGCGGGGTCGGCGTTGAGCCCCCGGAGCAGGAAGAAGCCGGCGACGGTGGCGGAGAGGAAGATGAGGATGACCCGCAGCGGGCACATCTCCTCCGCCCCGTCTCCTTCCCTTGCAGGGGAACAGAACGCAAGGAAATGGATTGAGGAAAGGCGGCGCCTTTGCCGGGGGCGGCTGGATTTGGAAGAGTTGGTGTGGGTAAGTGGGTTGATTAGTCCGCTCGCCCTCCCGTCGTCTCCTTCCCTTGGTGGAATTTCCTTTGACCTGTCCGTCCGTCAACCGGTGAGGCTGCAATGGGATCCCGCCGGCAGAGGCAGGAGACAGGAGCGGGCCGGAGGAAGAAGCTGGAGGAGGACGGGTCGGGGACGGATTTGTTTGTGCGACGACGAGAGAGAGAGAGGATGGGAGGAAGAGGAAGACGAACGAGAGGGGTCGGGGCGCCACAGGACAGAAACAGGCCCGTCGGTCGGGCCGTCACCGTCAGTCTTGCGCGAAGCCTGGCGGGGCCCACTTGGCAGTGAAGGCGCCGCGGAACTCGGTGGTTGACTCCGTCTCTGTAGGGCCCACCTGTCGGCGGATGGAAGCTTCTCAAGGCGTGCAGGCACGACACCGACGCAGCAGCGAACGGACGGAAACCGCCGGGTTTGCCTTGTGTTGTGTTTGGGTTCCACGTTTGTCCAAGGCCCTGTTTAGATTGGGGTTAGGAATTAGTATTTGATATTATAGTATTTTTGTTTATATTTGACAATTATTGTCCAATTATAGTGTAACTAGGCTTAAAAGATTCGTCTCATAATTTACAAACAAACTATATAATTAATTATTTTTTTATCTACATTTAATATTCCACGCTTGTGTACAAAGATTTAATATGATGAAGAGAGTGAAAAATCTTGGCCCAAGTCAAAAACAACGGACCGCCGATGCAGGGGACGGACGCGTTTTTTCTTTCTCCCCTGCTCCCTCCAGATCCAATCGGCATCTGTCTATCAAACAAGCAGTCGCATTTACGAGAGGATTCGTTTCCAAGAACACGAATAGTTGAGCTTCGTTCGATACATTTGCGGTGGCGTGCAAGGCCGCCGAAGCAGCACGCGCACGACAAACGGCACACGCATGTTGCAACACAGCACCGCAAAGTTCGGTGGTTGCTGCTAGTGGTGGCCTGGGTAGTTGCCAGTTTGCCACTGCCCAGTACAGTAAAGAGTAAAGACTACCGACTGCTGAACCAAACCACTTGCATGGCCGCTGCACCCATCAGATAACACCATCCTGCCTTGCCCTGCTATCCTCAGAAAAAAAAAGTGGAAACATATGCTGATCCCAGCATCACCAAAACAAGATGATTCCTAAATATTACTGGATACTAACAAGCACCATCTTCTCTTCTCCCATCGTGTACCAAATATCTTCCACCTACAGGTTTGTTCAGATTGGAATCCCCACCCAATCGTCAGGGTGTACACGAGCGAGCCCTTCATGGTATGCTGCTATCCACTACCACTTGCACAGAACGACCTACATATATATTAGTACAGCCGAACAACCACCTTCAAACAAATCAGTCACATATAGGCACGCGCTATTGCGCATTGCCAAAGGGAGCTGTGCCAGTGTTAGCGGCGACCCAAGACATCAGCGCACCTGTGCAGGGCAAGTCCCCATGCCCATTTTTCACTGAATCCCAGAGTTCATACGACGAGAAGTGCCAACACATCAGGTGAAAGTAAGTTTCACCTGATGCAATGCATCAGGTGGCGGCGTGGCGCATGTTAACAGGTCAGGTGAGAGTGCTACTAAACAAAATGACCCCATATCTTTTTTGCGCCAATGAACAGGGAGAGCCTTATCTCCTCGCTAAGTAACCCCCTGCAACACTCAGAGGGGAGGCAAGGAAGTTTTGGCTCAGACACCCTCCATTCCCTTCTATAACGAGGTTTGTCCCTGCTGCGCTGTCTCTTTTTCGTTGAAAGACCACACGGAGGACTGGACATCAGGACTTGTCGAGCAAAATAAGCCTCCTCCGCCACCGACTGGTGCGCTGGACGGCAATGAAAAATGGCCACCACCTTCCTGGGCTCCATCCTGCGACAGCTCCCCACTGCATACATAATAACCCCAACAGAGTCGTCAGATCCAGCATTTCACTTTATCAACGATGGTAGTATGAATGTACGTATGATGATAATACTACCCAAAAAAACATGAAATCAAATAAGACATGGATAGTTCAAATGTTTTGTCAGGCCTAAAACAGAAACCAAGCTGTGTCATGCAGACAACACCCAAAGGGCACAACCCATGGTAAAAGTAAAAGATTTCAGGCACCCAGTGCCATGCAGACCAAATGAACTCAATTTCAAGCCAACAGCTTCCAGGGTACAAGTCGTAAACTTGAAACAAGCAAATTCAAACGCCAATAGACCAAGTCCAACACAAAAACAATCGAATCTTGTATGCTAAGTTTCCATCAGCTTGGAGCCTGTTGATAGGTCAAGTGCTTCTGGCCTGTGTTGTCAAAAAAAAAAGTGCTTCTGGCCTGTAGGAAGTAGGAACCAGATGGTCTGTCATACTACCTGAGTATTCAAAAATGACTCAAATGAACTAGTCATGCTAAGAAAACTGATAACCCAATTTCCACGTTCCCTTGAGCCAAATTTCTGTGGGTAGCAGCCCACTTGCGTAAATTGTGTGGATGTCTCTCCTCCTAGAGACATCGCCATGGGATAAGACTGAACACCCCATTGGGCCTTGTCTTTGAATCCTCCGGGAACTCTAGTTGTATCCTAACTGGACTAAAACTTTCATCGCACATGGACTAGGCTGCCTGCTCTTTCATCACAGCACCTTTACATATGCTTTTCAAGTATGAAGGAGCCGGCCCCAACCATAAAGGGCGTACCCAGTGCAGAGAGCTCCCGATCTGTGCGGGGTCTGGGGAAGGGTGTCAGTGGCAAGCCTTACCCTCACCTGTGCAATGCGAGGAGACCGCGACTCGAACCCGGGACCTTCCGGTCACAGGCGGTAAGACTCTACCGCTTGCACCAGGCCCGCCCTTCAGAAGTAACAATTAAAACTACGCCCAATAATTAACAGCAAGGTCAAACAGGATGCAGTAACCAAACACCACTGATGAACAGCATTTCCAAGAATCCGACCACCTACAGTGCAGAAGTTCAATGCTATCAAACTACATATTTCAGAGAACAAAAATGTTAGCTCAACAGTTGCTCTTATAAAAAAGACATGCATTCATACGTTCAAGGATTGTGGCCTTGCACAACCCACAACCCATAGCAAATATTTAATCATCCATTTTGGACTTTTGGCATCAGCCGAATTTCATTCAATCTCCAGCTCATCTAATCGCATTTCTTGGACATAAGACCATCCCAACCTTGACATAAAAATGAAACTAGAACACTCGCTATCAACCTATACGTATCTCATCAAACTGCCTGCAACAGAACAGCTTAGCCTGCGGCAAGTTCTGATTTTGCACCATCTAAGTCTAGCCTCTAATTATGTCTCAAAAGCAGCAGCCCACACTATTTAAAAATACAAAAAATCAATGCAAACAATGGATGATATGAACGTAGAAGACCATGATGTTGCAGGAAGCATCCTATAAAATCAAGTGTTTAGTCTGCTCATCCCCTCCAAAACTTCTTCTCATTGTAAACACAGAACCTGGGCAGTTATCAGAAATCAGATGCTTGAGTACCCCTGAGCTATTGAAAATAAAAGTTACTATTGGAAAACAAATCTTGACCAGACCACAAAATCTAATACACTAAATGTGAGGAGCACATCATCAAGACCAGGGATAAAAACATTGGCTAATAATCTGACAATTCATGATGACAACTACCCATCTCTCCTCGGTTTCTGTACCCTTCTTTCTAATCAATTTAGACCTAGCAATGAATTTGCCTCTGAACTGCCTTAAGAAAAAGGTATTTACTTAGCACATAATTTCTAGCTGGGCTGAGAGAAACCCATGGCCAAATCATTGGTCAACCGTGCCATTGTTGTAACATATCTTGACTGACGACACATTTAGTATTAAGGTTCAACAATCACGAACAGTGGAACGAATCATGCAAAATGACCAGACATATCCAAGCTAGCTTATTCATTATGGCAGTTTGTCAATTCATCGTCATTCACGAGCAGAGTAGACCACTTAACGCCATAACATCAATGAACCATGATCCATGAAAGTGCGAAATATCAGAAACGCACATGTCCGATTAAGTGTTCCAAAAAGCTTTAGTCACTAGAGAGACTAACTAGGATTAGGCAGACACTCTGGGTAGAGTATGTGGCAATTAAGCAGTAAGCAGGATGGTGTTGCCTAACATCTAGGTGGACACATAGTGACTGCAAAGACCAAAATTGGCGTGACTAACTCATGAAACATATGAAAAATATATATATATATATATATATATATATATATATATATATATATATATATATATATATATAGAAGCACCACTGCCCTGCCCCAGATTACACGTCATTATCATAAATAAGATCCACAGAGAACTCCCACCTAATGATTGGAGAATAAAGAGCACTGCTGCCTTGAATCTTTCAAAGAAGAAAGGATCATCCATACACACATCACACTCAATGGGTTCAACAATAAAGACGAGTATCAATTAAAAACTCAGCAATGCTAAATACCACGATAATTCACTATGCTTTTCAACGGTCTCTAATTTCCGTACATATAAATGTACTCGTTGAAGTAAGGAGTAATCCACAATCACACTTGGAGACTTCACTCGTGTTTAACTATGTTCATGCAAATTTAAGCAGATGTCGTCAAATGATTATCATAAAAAAACGTCAATAATTTGGTGCTTAAATGGATTGATGCATGGAACTATACTAAGCAGTTAACTGGAAAACTCGAATGACTCACACAATAGCATGAAACTAGCAGTTGTCAACATCTGGGGAAGGCCAACAACTATTCTATAATGAGTTATTATACTAGGTTTCTAGCTCAAGTTAAAATTATATGTTCAGCGGTCATGAAAGCCTTTGTTGCAGCAAATTTTCTGAAAAGAAAGGGGGATAGGAAAGTACTTACTTGGGCCAAGAAGGACCAGGTGGTCCAAAGGGGTGTTCACGTGCTGATTTATTTGGAGACCCAAAAACCAAGTCATTGCGTAATTTCCCTGGTATTTCATGTGGAAGGAACAGGCTTGGTGTATCAGGTGGCAATTGCTGAAAAGGAGCTTTCTGCAGCCAAGGATCAGTGCCATTCAAACCAGTACCCAGGGGGCCTTTTGTTCCGCCATTGAAAAGATTGGCACTATAGTTTAATTGATTTGTCTGTCGAGGCCACTGACTCTGAGGGCCTTGCAGACCTAAACTTTCATGAACCAATGGCGTGCTCCACATTTGCCATGTGCCTTGCTCGCTGCTAGCCTCAGGCTGAATAGGACCACCAGGCCGTTTTGCAACTAATAAGTGCTGGGGCTTGATAGGCTTTTCTTCAACCATACGAGATCTAGAGAGAGGCGACTCAATTGGTGAAGGCCTCCCATGTGATTTCTTGGCGACATCACTCGAGATGAATCCACAATCCAAGTCTGGAGGGAAGTTATCTAAAGACTCTGAAACTGGCCCAAGCAATGCGATTGCATCTGGATCATAGCATGGGTCCTCAAACTGTTCTGAATCTTCAAATACAGCAGATTCTGCATCATCATAGAAAGGCATATGTCCAGCAGGAAAATGAGGTAGTGGCTTATTGGGAGGTACTCCATTAACTGGTGGAAAACCTGGAAATTGCATGGACTGGCTCGAACTTGGCTTGCTGTCCAGAGGAGGATACTGAGAGAGAAATGTACGAGCATTGCTTATTTGCGCTCCATTTGGTTCTGGCTTCCGATTCATATCACGAGCTGAAGTTGTAGCATCAGGACAAGGGGAGACTGATGCTGAACGACTAAACAGCTGATGCCATGACTTTTTAAAGCTGGTAGGGGCTGCCTGCACATTTGGACTAACCTGCATATAGCAAAATACAAAAGGTAGAAGATTTAAGATGGAAATTCAAGTAAAAACTAAAAACAACTAATGCAATTGGTTCTGACAACAAGATTTGTCATTAAAGTAGCAATGCCCTTGTTACTCACAGGTCGATTAAAATTAGTCCATGAATTTCTGGTTTCCCCAGCTGAAGCGGATTTGGCTGCAGCTTGCCTGGCTGCATGCTGGACATCTCTTTTGGCTGCATCACCCTGGTCAGTTGCAGGAACTACAGGTCTGCTAACCTTGTTAACTTGAGGAGCAGGGGCCTGAGCACTTCTGCCAAAGAAGGAACCACCGCCAAACCCTCTTGACGAAGATAAGAAACCACCCGTCATACGGCCAAAGTACTTTGCTCTGCTCTCCACTGTCTTATTACTATGATTGTTAGCTTCAAAGTAATGAGGCTTGTAACCCTCACGTCTGTCAGAGTCCATCTTTCTGTCGAAGGCTCGCTTCCTGTCGCCTTCTCGGCCCAATCGTCTATCAATGTCCTCACAATCTGAATTACTCTTGCTTGACCCTTTGTCCTCTTTCTTCCTCCTCTCCTGGCGCCGCCTCTCTGCCTCCCTCCTAGCATCCTTCTCCCCAACAGGGGTAGCGCTTTTGGACCGCTCCTCGGCCTCAGCTTTCTCATCCCTCAGCCTCCTGCGTTCCTCCACCAGCTTTGCCATCTCTTCCCGCTGCTTCCTTTCTTCCTCCTCCAGCATTTCCCTCTCCAGCCTCACCAGCCTCTTCTCCTCTGCCTTCCTCCTCGCCTTCTCGACCCTGCTCTCCTCAGCTTTTCCCCCATTCTCCCCTCCCTTTGCCAACCTCTTACCATCTGGGCCCAAGCCCTCACCGTCCCCTGACGATGTAAATCTGAATATCTTCCTCAATGGCCACCTCACTGTTGCTGTGAAAAATGACAACAGCAGGTGCCATGAGAACCCCCAGAAGGAGGTACTGGCGCTGGAGGAGCAGCGCAGGTCGAGCCAGTCTCCACAATCCTGAGCGCAAGGCCACCTGGAGGGGGCCTTCCCGGCCGAATTAAGGTCGAGCACGGGGCGCTTGGAGACGTGGCCGCAGTAGGAGCACATGAACTTGCCGCCGCCGGGGTTCTGGTCCCTGTAGGGGTTGCTGCAGTTGCGGCAGCGTCGGGTGGCGGTCTTGCGGAGCTTGTGGAGCTCGAGCGCGTGCGCGCGGCGCTCCTCGCGGAGGCGCGCGGAGCGGCGGGCGCGCCAGAGGGAGAGCCGCGGGAGGAGGATCTCGTACCAGAAGAGGGTGAGGAGGAGCACGGAGACGCAGGCGAGCCGCGGGGAGGTGACCTCGAAGCGGTAGGCGGCCGGGAGGAGCAGCTGGGTGGCGGCCCAGATGGCGATGAGCGGGACGACGAGCCACGGGAGCATGGTGGCGACGCGCCGCGACCAGCGCTGCACGGCGCAGAGCATACACATTGGGTTATCCGGCCGCCTCCGCTGCGCAAGCCCCCTGCTGGATCGCCAGCGCCGTCGAAGCCTTGAAGGGCGGGTGGGCGGGTGGGTGGGTCGATTGGTCGGTGGGTTGCTTGCTCGGCGGGTAATGCTGCGATTCGATTTGGGGGAAGGGGAGGGAAACCCTCGAATGGGGGAGCGGAATCGAAGCGGGCGGGCCCTTTTTTTGCGGCGATGCGAGATGCGGCAGCTAGGAGGAGAGCGTGGGGAGAATGGATTCGAGAACGGGGAGCTGGAGGTGGGCGATGGCCATGGCGAAAACCCTAGCTTTTCCAATCCCTTTCTTCCCTCTCCTCGGTCGGCGACGGAAGGGAGACGAAGCAGCAAGCCGTGGCCGTGAGAAAACCAGGTAAAGCCACCACGAGGCGCCATTTTTTTTCTTTCTAATTTCTTTTCTTTTTCCTTCCTTCGAGGAAAAGCCTTTATCTTCTTAATAAATTATAAGCAGTTTGAGATTAAAGCTACAGCTATAGAATTTTAGCTTTGACATTAAAGTGACTGAAAACGATAAACATGACTTTATCCTGAATGGTAGCTTAACTTGAACAGTTCTAAAAAATAACCTAGACATACAGGTAGAGATAAAAAAAAAAACTCAAATGCAGGCCATGTTTGGATATAGATAAATACTCTATTCGTTCCAAATTATAAGTTATTTTAATTTTATTAGAGACAAAGTCTCTCAAGTTCTACCAAAATTATGTAGAATTATAAAGATTTATTATAACATTAAATATATACACTATGAAAATATAATTAATGAAGAATCTAGGGATACTTATTTGGTGTCACAAATGTTATTACTATTATATAAATTTGGTCAAATTTGAGATGCTTTTACTCTTTAATAAAGTTAAAATAATTTATAATTTGGGATGGAGGGAGTAGCTCACATATAGTACATGTTTAAATGGACATTTGTTGCGAGGGGCTTTACCTATAGATGTATCTAGATTTAGGTGTTGGAAATCGAACATTTGGGAGTGACATCCGCTTGAGCAAAATTTTCATGGTGGATCCATATAGGCGTACATCACCATGAGAAAATAAGACCAAGTAACATATTTTGTATAGCATTGAGTCCCCAATTTGTGATGCGTACGCCATAAAAGATCATTTTTTTTTTAAATGCAATGGGGAGACGAACGATGTCCACATGATTATATTACCACAGATTCCAGAAAATTCTGGTGGGTGACGGGGCAAATGCCCCAAAAGTTTTGCCTGGCACCACAATTACAAGGAAAATCACAGAGATGGGGGGAGCAATTACATCGGGCGAATGGAACTCCAGAAATTAGCTAAGGCGACGGAGCTTCTGGGAAGTCGACATTGCCATAGGGTGGTCGTGGCTTTGCAGGTGACCGCTAGTCTCTCCACGCTTGGCGTCAACCCTCTGAAAACAACATCATGTCAGTGTTTCCATAGCTCCCAACAGCACAAGAGGAGGAAACTTAAGGCCGCTTCCTTGGGCACTCGTCCCGGCACACTGGTCGTCGTCGACGGCGACGATTGCATTTGGCCACCACCCTATCTTGTTCCAGAACCTGCAGGCGAAGGAACACCCTGATCCGCATCTTCTTTTTGTCATTTGCACAAGTCACAAGTCGCATCCGACAGCAGCCCCTTCTTTGCTAAATTTGCCTTGCACTGGATCCTGTTCTGAACTAGAAGCGATGCGAAGAACTTCACTCGTGGTGGGGTAAAATTGCGCCAGACAAAGTCGAAGGAAGGCAGCTGTTGCTCGCCACTGATGGACGCCTTGTAAATGAAATCAGCCGCCAGCTTGTTGTCGTTCTTGGCGAAAGCACAAACCCTGTCATCAGGGGATGTCTCCAGCCTCAACTCGTGTAGAAGATGGCTCAACTGGCTCAGCTCCCTTTCTACTTGCAGAGTTAGCCTGGGCTGGAGCATCAAATGCCAGTCTCCACTGAGAACTGCTTGCATCGAGGCATCTCCTTTGGTGAAATGACTGTGGAGCGAAGGGAAGGCTTCTGCAAGAGTTGAATCAGTTAGCCATTGGTCCAGCCAGAAGGATGCGTCTTCTCAATTGCCCACCCTTGCATGGGATGATGGGATATGCTCCTGCAGGCAGTAGCTCCCTCAGCGCGTCCCAATGCTGGCCAGTTACATCTCCCTGGAGATCAGATAGCTTGACACGGCCGCGCGCCCATGCTGTCCATGACGAGTCACCCCGGGTGGTGGAGCCTGTGTATGAGCTTGAGCAGCAGACAGACAAGGGGGGTGATTGGTTGTCCTGCCCAGACTATCCAAAGGCCATCCGGTGCCACGTCATGCACTTGGGTCTTTTCCTGTCTTGCACTGTTTGCCTGCTTCATTCCATTCCTTTCCCCATTTTCCCCCCTCCAACCCGCACGCCTTGGGCTTCTAGATTTCTCCTTCTCTCGTGGTGTAGGATGACTTGATTCACGCATGATGCAGGGACCCATGTGTCAGATGTAACCAAATACAATTCCGTCTCGTAATGGACCAATAACAAAGACAACCAAACACGACCACTTGCACAAGTTCAATCCAGATTCTTTAGTCCTGTATAGCCTGACCATCCTGGCTCAAGGCTCGTCTACAACCAATCACGCCCTGAGTGTCCAGGCGTTTGATCCCGAGCCCCCCATCCTCCTTTGCCTTGCATACCTTGTCCCAAGCAATCAAGCACTTTTGCCCCGGTGATTTTGTCCGATCCATTCTAGAGAAAGGCACGTCGTTTAGCGTCCAAAGCTTCCTTACCCCCACAAGTAGGAGGAGAGCTCCCATGGCATATGCCGGCAGTCCGTCAAGCACAAAAAGTTCATATTTTGATGATTTTTTTTAAAGATTCTTTTTCTTTTCTTTTTAGCATGGATACACCCGCCGTCGCTACAGATGTCAGTGTACTCGCGCATGTAGTGGATCCGCCCGCCGTGGTAGCCACTGCCGATGTGCTTTCCTGATGAATCAGCCCTGGTTTAGTTTTACTCTAAAATCCCAAAAAGTGCTACAGTACCTGTCACATCGAATGTTTATGGTCTATGCATGAAGCATTAAATGTAGACGAAAAAAAAACTAATTGCACAGTTTGGTGCGAAATTGCGAGACGAACGTTTTGAGCATAATTAGTCCATGTTTGAACACTAATTACCAAATAAAAACGAACGTGCTACAGTATCCCCAAATTCCAAATTCCTGGAACTAAACACGCGCTCAATGAAGCCCCGAATCCACCCGCAGCCGCTAAGGTTTGTGCGCACGTGCGTTCCCTCCGCTGCGGAGTGCTGGATGAGCAGATAGTAGCTGTCCTAATCTAACTCGTAAATTTTCTGGGTTGTTCGGCTGGTATTAAAGCCGACTAATAAGTCGGCTGAAGTTGTTTTGTTATGAGAGAAAAATATTATGATAAGTCGGCTAATAAGTTCAAACGAACAGGCTATTCCGGAGAGCTATTGGAATGGAACATTCCGGTACCAGCCCATACCGACCTACCGTTCCGAACTTTATAATAATAATAATAATAATATGTGAATATATACTTATACATATATACTGACTTAACTTATGTCGTAATTATCATTTCTACCAAACTAACATATCATTCAGCAAGTTCATAAAAACCATATTTCAAAGTTCAAACACCAAAGTTCGTACATGGAATAGGATTGTGGCTCTTCTATATCGATCTAGGTGCTGGTACGAGGCATTCCGGCCGGTACCAGAATGGAATTTACATGTATACTCCTAGTCCTAGTATCTCCCGGGTCTCTTCACTTGAGAATTATCTTCGACCGGTTTTAGCCCAAGTAGCCTCACAACTCAACCGAGTAGTGGTATTTCCTAGACTCGCCTGTAATAAAATTGAAAATATATTGGGGGGCCTGTAATTTACACCAGCTTTGGGCCTGTAATTAAAAGTATGGAGGCCCTGAGATTGCAGAATTCTGGGTGGAGGTACCATCTGTTGGGCCCACGGTTTTCATGTGGCACGCAGCCTGGCCGTCTGGCCCGTTTAAGAAAAGGTTTTTCGGGCGCGCCGCTCACAATCTTCGTCTTCCTCCTCACTTCTTTGAGTTCCCTGACGGCTCACCCCTCCGCATTCTTTCACCCCTCAACCAAATTCTTTGGTGTCAGTTCAGGCCGCAGCCTTTCTGTGTCCTGCCACGCCTATAAAACGCACGACTCTTATGGAAGCACACCCAACTCAGCTTCAGCATCCGCTCTGAACACCCAAAGACAATGTCGCAAGCTCGCATCCTTCTCGCGGTGCTGGCCATCACTACCATTGCGGTGGCCTCCGAAGAAGACGCGCTCAGCTCCGCGGTCGTTCCCACCCCTCCAGTCCTAACACCTTCGGCGCCAACGCCGGAGCCGTGCTCATGTTGCGACCTATGCAACATAGTGCCGGGGCCGTTTTTGGCCGTTCCAGGCGGCGGGTCCTCGTCGTCGGCGCCCATCCTGCCCCCACCGCCGTCTCCACCGGTGCCGGCGCCGGCGCCGCCAGCGCCCGTGAACTGCGTCACGGCCTCGTCGGGGCTGGCGCCCTGCGGGACGTTCCTGACGGGGGGCGCGGGTCCTCCTCCGACGCCGCAGTCCAGTTGCTGCAACGGGCTGGCTGCGTTCCTCTCGAGCGCCAGAGCTGCAGCGCCGGTCGCTGGGCGGCAGAGGCTCCGGTGCCTCTGCCCAATCATCCACGGCGATGTCAATGCCGTCCTCCCCAAGCCCGTCGACCCTGTCCGCATGCTGTACCTGCCGGTGGCATGCGGCCTGGCGCTCCCTCCGCAGACCATCCCAATCTGCTTCGGTGCGCGGTGCTTTCCCTTCATCTCTCTCCTCTGTCGCCCTATGTTTTGAACTCGCTGACATTGGTGACACTGACATTGAATGGGTGAATGGCTGCAGGAGAGCGTATGCCGACCATCGCCAACCTCACTTCAGCAGGCGTTCTGCACTGAACGGGATGCCGGACCTGGGGCGGGCGCCTCGCCAAGGCGCGCGGCCGGTGTGTCCTGTTGGGCACGCAGTGCCGTTGTGGTTTCAGACACCCGCTGCAAATGCAACTCTCCCCCGTTCAATCCGGCAAGTTCCAGCGCTCCTAGTCCATGTCGTGTCGTCGCTGCTGCTTCGCCTACTGGTCTTTTATTGAAAACAAGAGAGTTTTAGAAGAGCAGTCTAAAGAGACAAGAAAGAAAACAAAGACGAAGGAAAATTATACAAAGCATTTTAGCCATGATTCAATCAAAGGAAAATATTTCTTGTTTGTTCGCAAACTCAGTCTTGAAAGTTTCCTTGCAGTGGCAAATGGCGGCAAATTCTAGAAAATGAGATTATTCCTTGTTGTCCAAATGCTCCAACAAAGTTAGATAATAATCTCCACAAAGAAAGGGACATGCAACATTTGAAAGCATCCAGAATAGCATAAGGATGGACTGAGTTGATTGGAACTTGCAGATGTAGAGATCGACGTACACTATGCTTGTGCAAAAGGATACTCTAGAAAAATGTTGCTCTAGAGTCTCTTCCGTAGAACTTGTACATAGAACACAATCATATATGACTGCAGTGCCATGGTTCACCGTTTTAGAATATTCGTTGTGCTAAGTCTGTCTTTTAAGAGAAGCCAGAAAAAGACCTTATGTTTGTGTTGACACATGAACATTTTCCAAAGCCAATTAAACACTAGGTTGATATCCAAATGGCCAATTAGCCTCTTATATATTTTTTTAAGAAACAAGAGGTATTGGAGGCCAATCCCTACTGGCATATATTAATAGCACAAACAGGAATACAAAAAAAAAGCGTTACAGGAGAAGAGAATACAGGAAACATAAAAAGGAAAGGAAAAAGATGAGGCAGATTAAACAAGCTGCTCTAGCCATAAAGAAATAAAAGTGAGGTACTTATTATTCTTCGCGCAAAGAATAACTAGGTCGAAGTTTTCTCTAAAGAGAAATTTGCAGCTCTCCAAAGAAACAGCTTCTCCTCTGCAAATGAGATTATTCTGACATACCAAATGCTCCAGCACATCAAAATAATTATCTCCATAAAGAACAAGACTTTAAGCTGTGATATGATACTTTCCAAAACTTGGAAACGATCCAGCGCAGTTGGCACATGACACTAGTAGAGAAACAGACTGTACTCCCGGTTCTCAATCCCCTTCAGTCTCGATTTTGGAATTGGAAGTACGAATCCGGGACTAAAGGGCCCCTCCTTTAGTCCCGGTTTCGCGCCCACCTTTAGTCCCGGTTGGTAATACCAACCGGGATTAAAGAGGCCTCCCGGCCTGGCCATGTGGGCCGGATTATCAACCCGGACTAAAGGTTTTTTTTTTCAATTGATGATTCGTTTTGGTTTTCGAATAGGTTTTTAAATACGCATTCTACGTTGCTAATAATATACGTATTCTACACGTTTATAATGTTCGAACATTTTGTACAAACTAAAGTATGAAAATAACGTATATATTACATGCATATATATATATATTGTACGTTATTTTATGTACATATAATATGTATATATATATATATATATATATTACAAATAAAGCTTCCATTGTATATTCTATCATATTCTTGGCATAACAAATTCACTCCATCTGGTTTGGCTTCCATGTTTCGTTCACGTCATTGTAGAACTCGTCGGCGGGGTTTAGGACCTGGTCATTAAGAAATCCTGCTATGATCTCTTAAATTGCTTTCAGTTGGTCACGTCATATGACTTTTTCCTTCAACCATAGAGTCTTCGATAAAAGTTAAAGGAAAAGTATTAATATATATATATATATATGTGTGTGTTGGTCACGTGATTACTTATATATATGAGCAATAAAAGAAATTGTGAATACATGAATATATTTATATAACGTACTTTGAGGTTCTCTTCAGAAGTTCTTTTTGAGTACGTCATGATGAACTCGCAAACATAGTATCCGTAGTAGTTGTTCCCCTGTTCTTGCCTCAGAACCCACTTTTACGAGAAAAAAGATCCGGTGAATTGAAAGCATGCATGGTGTTAATTGAATTATATACATTTATATATATATATATGTATATATGTAGCTAGTACTTAATTTGTGTGCGATTACATGCAGTGGCGCTTTGCAATGTTTCATGTGGTGTTCATAAATGAAACTTTTTCAAACACTGCACCCAATAAAATAAAAAATTAATTTGGCCTTTAATAATTGTTGCAGTTAAGAGATCGGGGTATATATAGTTGCTAGAGAGACCAAATTACCCTTGGATAATATCTATCATGTCTTGGTACTCTGTTTGCTCTTTTCTTAATGAGTCTAAGATGCTCAAGCGACTATTGGTCATATCGATGACCATCAATATCCAGTGATTGCTGCATATGTTTTTATATATAAATATGATTGACATTAACTAGAGTCAACATATATATATATATATATATATATATATATATATATATATATATATATATATATATATATATATATATGAGAGATAGCTTAGCTAGTAAGCAAATAACTGAACAAATGTCCATATGATCCACATTAATTATTTAACACTCACTTGAAGTTGTAGGGGAAGAGTATGTCCTTGTTTTGTTGGTTCACTAAGAATCTCATGAGATTTTTCTCGAGTTCAGCTTTTCATTGGGGCGGGGGATTAGGGTATTTGAATATGACATTTGGATCAACGAAACCAACATCATTATCCTTTCTCTTTCTGAGTTCTGTCATCTCATATCTGCATATATAAAAATATAGTGTGATGATATATAATTTATATATATACATGTAGCTTTATATATATATTTTTTAATAGTAGAAAATAATCACACTTACGGACAATAGCAGCTAATGAGACTTTTGTCGAGAGAGTCCAGGTGGCATAGTTGGTGTAATTCGGAAAACTCGACATATATAATGTCATCGCCACGGAAGTAATGTTGGTTTCTAACTCTGACAGAAACAAAGGTCTCTCCCCGTTCACACGCCGCTATGTACCACTTGTTTAGCAGGTACATTTGCGTACCCAGTTCACCTAAGGCCTCAGGATTGTATAGATTCTTTCCATATTCAAATTTCTTCCAATGATCCACTTTCGGAGCAGATGGTCCTTCAGCGAGCACTTGGGCAAGGTCCAAACCGGTATCCTCGTAAAACCAAGCCAGGTCCTCAAAATCGACGTCCAGTACGTCTAAGTTTGAACCATATTCATTATGAATGACAAGAGGGGGGACTAATTATTGTGATTGTTGTCTGAGTTGTGCAACACCTTTCCCTGCTCTAGTCTTTTTCTGCTTCGCCTCAAATGACTTGGTGAGAGAGCGGTCGTAGTCTGATTTTGGCAGGGTCTTTTGAGATTCCCTCTTTTTCTGGTCCACCTTCTTTCTTAGAAGATCTGGAGGTAAGTAGAAGTACGGTTTCTCCGGGTTCTCCCTCGCTTCTCGTTGCTTTCTTACTTTTTTCGAAGAAACTGCTCACATCTTTTTGTACTACAGTATTTAATTCCTTTTCACTTTTCTTGTAAGCCAGTTTTTGGGGAATAACTGGATTAGAGGAGGCTTTCTTCTTTGCCGGCTGGTGGGCCAACGGCTTCGTTTGCGGGGCGGACCTCTTAGGAGCTGGCTGCTTCTTGGTCATGAAGGGAGGCGGGGCAGGCGTTGGAGACCTCCTTGGAGGTGGCGGCGGTGGCGGCGTTGCATAATCATTGCCCGGAGCACTATGATGATCTGGAGATTGAATAATTGGACTTAGGTTGGCGGAGGCCCTGCTGTGTGAGTACAAAAAAGAATAATTAGGTATAAGAAATTGTTATTATTAATCATGCATATCAATAGAAAATTAGTGAAAATTGTTTCGTTCACTTTTGTCCGCACCTATTGTCTGGCAGTTGAGGAAGCGGCGGTGGACTAGAGACCCTAGGAATAATGATGTAGCGCTTGCGCCATAGTATGAATGTCTTCTCTGCTTCTCCTAGAGTCTTCTCTCCATCACCTCCTGGAATGTCAAGAGCCAGATCACTAAAACCTTTGTTAACTCTATCCACTGAGACGCTAACATATCCAGGTGGTATTATTGCCCCATGGATTCTTGGTGTCTTGGTAGGATCTGGAGGAGAAAAACACAGAGAGCCACCATGATTGTGGCATTCCCTTTTGAAATATTTAGCTCACATGATGTAAACGGTGCAGTGATGTCATCCACGGGAAAACGTAGCATTGCGTCATCTTGATTTGGCAACTCCATGGAAGCGCTGCTGCTTTTCAACTGATCAGGGGGCTAATATTAATGTTGATTCCTGGATCTGATGTCTGCCTTTGGGCACTCATTGCTATTTGCACTTGCTTTATGATTTCGTCCTGCATTCTAGCTTGCATGTCTTTTTCGCGCTCCTGTGCTTGAAGCAACGCCTCCCGTGACTCACGAACATATTCCTCCAATCTACTGATCCACGCTGCTTCCTCATCATTTCTTCTCTGTCGGCTTCTGTAGGTATCTCTGTCGTTAGGGAAACCATGCTCCCAAGAAATGTTCCGTCCTAAACCTCTTGTTCGGCCACTGTATTCAGCAGTCCCGATGGCATACGTCAGTTCATCCTTCTCTCTATTGGGCTTGAACGCACCAATAGCTTTAGCTTGTAGAGCATAAGAAAATCTTTGTGTTGCTCTTTCAAGTTTTGGGCCATATACCAGCTTCCTGGTCTCTAGGTCTAGTCTTCCCCCATAAGCAAAAAACCAATTCTTCACGCGTTTGGGCCAATTGAGTGATTCTGGTGTGATACCCTTGGCAAGAATGTCCGCTTTCATTTTTTCCCACTTAGGAATGGCAGTCGCGTAGCCACCTGATCCCATGCCATGGTGGTATACCTTATGTCGGGCATTCTCTTAGTTCCTTCTCACCCATTTCTCATCCTCTTCCGGTGTCTTGTACTATACAAAATCATTCCAGTAGGGCCTCAACTTCATGAGCGAGCCA